AGTTTATCGACGGTTACTTTAAATTAGTGACGTTCGTAACTGACACGCCAAAACACAACACCAAACTGCGACCAAGTGTAATCGCAGTCCGGGAATGCAGTAACAGGCAAGTTCTATTATCAACCCGGGGTCTAGATCTACTGCTTACTCCGTGATGATTTATTATCTAGCAAACTAATTCGAGTGATTGTTGTTTAAAGCAAAAGCAGTAAGAAAGCAGGAAATGGTTCGGTTTTCAAAAGCAGGAAAGAATCACTCAGGAATGAGTCCCCCTACCTCCTTAGTTAGGTTCAATTGTAATTACCCTGAGTTGATTTACTGTTGATTAGACTGCGGAAGATCCGACGGTAGCTTGGAATCTCTTAAGCTGACCAAGCCCTCTCAGTCTAACTACCCGGCAGACGACTAGTCTTCACCGGGATAGAAAGCTGAAGCTATAAGCACAGAACTCCACTACTGGAATTGAATTCCAGTACAAAGCAGTAAACTGGCTAACTCTCGTATAGCCAATCTCCTACTATCGAATGAAGAGGCTCTAACAACCTAATCAAATTCTATCTATCTCAGGTTGCAGCAGAAATCAAGAAAAGCTGATCAGACTTCAATCAATTCAATAAACATGCATCATTCGATTAAAACCAAACAGTATAATCATCCCAAGTCATTACAATCCAATCCCTAACACATGGAACTAGGGTTCTTCATACCCAAGTGAGAGAAAGGTTCTACTCCATAGAGAGAGAGGAGAAAACAGTAATCGGAGTAGTCATACTCATAATGATGAGGAAAATCTGCTCCGGGATGATGATTTCCACTCCTATGACGATCTCCAAGCTCGATTCGATGAAACCCAGCTCCAAGATAGCTTCTAGGATGTGTTCTTCGTACTTTCTCTCTCTAGGGCTCTGTTTTTGCCCTCCCAAATCCGATTCCCCCCTCTCTTTTGGCTGAAATCTGCCTAAAAGGTGTCACTGGGCAAAACACGATCGAGGGCACGGCCGTGTTCTGCTCCAACCCGCCCGTGCCCTTTGTCACGTGGTAATTACACGGCACGATCTGGGGAAAACACGGGCGTGTTTTGATGCGGACACGGCCGTGTTTTGAAATGGTCCCGCCCGTGTTTTAATGCTCGTGTAGGGCAATTGTGGGGAAGCCTCGGCAGTAAAAGCACGGGCCAGGAACACGGCCGTGCTTTGCAAGCCTCCTGCCCGTGTTTTGGTCCTAGCTCGACCAAATGACTTCCAAACGCCCCCAAACTCGTGCTTGGCCTTCCCTTCGACGCTTGGGACCTGAAATATGACAAAGTAGCACAACTCGGCGTAAAATAGGCCAAAACACACAACTATGCCCCACAAATGGATAAGAAATAGGGGTATAAAAACATGCAATTACATCGTTATCAAACTCCCCCACACTTAACCGTTTGCTTGTCCCTAAGCAAACCAAGTCAGACACCAGGTAAGCTCAAAACATTTCAATCAAGCAGGCTTAAGGGCATATCTATCGGCACAAAACACGTGGATCATACTGGCTTTCGATCATTAACACATGGCAACTCGAACGGCAACCAAGACAACCACCACAGATGACATTCGAATGCAATAAAGTCGAGCAAAGGAAGAGTTCCCTTCTGTTCACCAACCAACATAGACTTGATTCAACCACTTATTCAAAACAGTCACTTCATGCACAAAGCTCAAGATATCAGGATTAAGACCGAGCAATCTAGGTCCTCACCGGGGTAAAGAGTATAGAGAATATGAGAAAATGAATCGCTCACTCTCGACCAGTGGGGTCAGGACAATTTGATGCGAAAAATGTGCATGCTTATTCTCTCAATCCCTAACGTCTCTTCACCATGAATGCAACCTCTAAATGCTAGAGTTCACAAAAGGGGTGTCACCACTAACTAATCCGGAGGTCTTAGACACGGGTTCAGATGACTGGCTAGGGTCTTGGACATGGGGAAAAGGTTTTAGGTGGTGGAAGTAATAGCACAAGGTTCCACATTTCCAAACCCAACAAAGTCACAGCCAAGCAAACCAGTAACTGTCTTTCTGCTATTCTGCATTACTCAAATTCTTTAGGGCATGAGAGCGAAGGAGGTTATCTAAATGTTAGCATTTCCAAGCCAGACTGCTAAGAAACACTACTTAATGGGCACCATTCAGAATTTTTTTTTGGTGGTGGCTCTCTTTTGCAGCTATTTTTTTCTTTGATTTTCTTTATTTATTTTCTTTTCATTCCTTAAGAGAACCACCACCTCTGCACATTTTTCAAACAAATGCCCAACTTTTAAGCACTACCTCAAACCCTCACATTACATTTAGCAGAAACAGCAGAAAACATGTAAAAACCACTATGTGGAACCTTCGAAAAGATGCAAAAGGTGATTTTTCAATGTAGACCGAAAGAAAGGATAACACACGGCTCAAAGGGGCTGACTAGGGGATATGACACATCAGGACAGTCAATTTGGTCGTGGGCTAATCCTATGCCTCCATCATCTTAGCTAATGACAACGTGAATGCTGCACATCATGGAAGAGGGATCTATCGCACAAGAAAGAAACGAGCAGGCTCAAATCTCACATGGCTACCTATATGCTCTATCTCTCATTCTGATTCTCTGAACTAGATGCATAAATGACTGTCAAAAGCAAGTGATCAAATCCAAGTCACAATTGATAAGCAAACAATTGAAAATTGAACCCTTACACAATTCTACTACATATCTCAGTCATAACAGGCTGTCTTAGTCACACTCAAGTCGTCATGCATCAAGTCAAAAGCCATTCAATTCACTAATCACATCCACAGTGCCAATACGATCAAACATCAAGCAAACAGCAGTAACGAGTGCATTCTGGCCGGCCAGGAGCGCCTTCACACCCGCCTCGATCGTGAGCGGGACCGCGACCGTCGCCTGATGTCCGGCCAGCACTACATCATGTCATACCTGGGACTGGACCCGAACGCAGTTCACTACCCCTTCGTGCAGTCCCCGGGGTATGAGGATGAGTACCCCCCACCTTCCGGCGATGGTGGCGATGCATTCTAGTGGAGAGAGTGCCTGGTTATGCCGTGATTTCTTTTCCAGATTGAGACTCCATGTTTTTGTTGTTTCGTTTGGATTTGTTTTATTTTATTTTATTTTGGATTGTAGACTTGGGACTCTGGTTCTATCACCCAGTGTGTGTCTTTTGTTGACTTTAGCTCTGTGCATTGGACTGGGTCCCCTTCTAGTCCCCTGCTTTTGACTGGTCTGCCTCCCAATCTCCGTTCCTGACCTCATTTCACGGTAACATCGTTCCCCTTCCTTTGCTCCATTGCGGACATTGGCGCATTTAAGTGTGGGGGGGTTCTTTGTATTAATTGGAACGTGTGTATGGGTGCTTGGTACTTGGAGCCCTCAAATCTCGAGATTTGGACAGTGGACTAGGCTCCAAGCACCAAGCACCCATACACACGTTCCAATTAATACAAAGAACCCCCCACACTTAAATGCGACAATGTCCGCAATGGAGCAAAGGAAGGGGAACGATGTTACCGTGAAATGAGGTCAGGAACGGAGATAGGGAGGCAGACCAGTCAAAAGCAGGGGACTGGAAGGGGACCCAGTCCGAGGCACAGAGCTAAAGTCAACAAAAGACACACACTGGGTGATAGAACCGGAGTCCCAAGTCTACAATCCAAAATAAAATAAAACAAATCCAAACGAAACAACAAAAACATGGAGTCTCAATCTGGAAAAGAAATCACGGCATAACTAGGCACTCTCTCCATTAGAATGCATCGCCACCATCGCCGGAAGGTGGGGGGTACTCATCCTCATACCCCGAGGACTACACGAAGGGGTAGTGAACTGCGTTCGGGTCCAGTCCCAGGTATGACATGATATAGTGCTGGCCGGACATCAGGCGACGGCCGCGGTCCCGCTCACGATCGAGGCGGGTGTGAAGGCGCTCCTGGCCGACCAGAATGCGCTCGTTCTGCTGAGTGATGGCCGCCAACTGATCAGAAATGGGCACCACCACGGGAGCGGGAGACCTGGGAGCAGCGGAGGGGCTCGCGGGAGCCTGGGCACGAGGAGCAGCACGGCGAGGAACTCGGCGTCCTCCAGCTGCGCTGGACTCCGGCTGGTCTCCCTCTGCGGGTGCAGGTGGGTGGGGAAGACCCACAATCCAGTGCAGACGCCCTTGGGGAGCCACCAGGTGCTGAGCGCGGAGGTTGGCTTCGCTGAGCGGAGTGGGCCCGTGGACCACGGTCATCCCAGTGATGTCGACCTCGTAGTAGCGGGCCAGGGCCGTGATCACCGGGCCAGAGACAAGTTGGCGATCCTGGCTAGAGGCGGCTTTCCCGAATGTCTGGGCGACCACCGAGCCCAGCTGGATGGTGTCCTCAGAGCGACCCATCGCGTCCATGAAGAACAGGCACTACAGGAAAAAGACCATTTAATCACGGTATATACAGTGTTTAAAAGTGTGTTTCCCGTGTTTAATAGTTTTATTCACGGGAAAATTACCGTAATATATACCTCCGTGTTTAATTGTAAAGGTCACGGGAATTTTGTACCGTGACTAGTTATAACTAGTCACTGTACGATTTCCCGTGATAATATATACTTACTAATCACAGGAGGCCCTGTGACTAATGTCAAGTCTTGCCACACAAAACCGAGAAATAAAACTCATTTAGAGACGGGATGTAGGCTTTTAACACAGTATTTACTGTGATAAAATTGTTTCCCGTGACTAGATGCCAATTGTTAGTCACGGTATTTGGCTGATTCTACTGTGTCTAGATGCTAACATTTGGTCACAGTATTTGGTTAATCTCCCATGTTATACACTAACATTTGGTCACGATATTTAACATATATTTTCCCTAATTAATTGCACCTGGTTTTCTTTCTTTCTAATGCTTCATGTTTGAGCTTATAGTATTGAGAGTCAAACTAATAAAATGAAGATACAAATACCCTTACAAATGATGTCCACAACCAAAAGTCATTACAAATGATGTCCCCTTAATAGCCAAAAACAAAGTCATTACAGATGATGTTATTTAATGAAATGATGTCCGCTTAGTAGCTGAAACAACCTCACTTCTGCAATTCATCTTGTAGATCAGTAGATTGAAATGATGAAACAAAACATGTCAAGTGAAAGCAGCTTTTGTCTTGTTATATTAGGCGCCAAGAATGACATCAAAATGTGGCCCTGCATCCATACAACAGAATAAGTTCATTAACTTTATTTTTCCAAAACTCATTACAAGTGAATAAAGGCATATGGTATAACCTGTGCCAACCTCCCTAATGCAAATGCTGACTTTTCCTGAAGCTGCACATCCAAAGCCTCAAGCATATCAATCAAGCAGAACTCTTGTGCCACAAAGAAAGAAAGGAAAGATAAAACTCAAATTACCATTTGCATTCACCATTACATAGTGCCTCAAGGAGCAAACCTAGACAGAAAACAAGAAAAAGCATAAAGAGACTGGGCAACTATATTATAAGTCCAAAAACCTTGCTCTTTGATCACTGCCAGCAGTGCCTTCCTGGGTAATTCAAGCCCCTACAAAAGATAACAGTAGTCTAGCAAAATAAGAAGCAATCAACAAATCAATTAAGTTGCAAGTGAGAGAGAGACCATCCAGGAAGAACCCAGCTTAATCTTGCTGAAAAAGAACCCAAGCAGAACCCAACTTGAACATCCATCACAAGAATGCAGGAACACCAACTGTCAGTTACACACCTTTCTCAAATCCCTATATCTAAAAGCATGGACACCATAAAAATCAAGAAAGAAACCAAATATATCTATGAACACAAGTAGATGGTCCCATTAGTGATTTCTCCAAGTCAATTCCCACATTTTTTAAGCATTACAATGTCTCTAGCACTCTAACAGTACTGCTTCAATGCTCTATCAGTGTTCTTAACACACCTGAGAAGCACCTGCAAAACCAAATACAAACCATACAAAGAACTTGAGACAATACTGCAAGTATTATCCAGAAAACAAACTAAATTATCTACACCAATGAATTTCAGAAGGGAGCTAATCAAACCAAAAAAGAAAGAAATAAGTAGCATATTGCGTTCTGGGCTCAAAGCAAGCCTTCCAATCCAGAATTCATTTATAACCTGAAATCACAGATGCTGAAAGATAAAAACAATCCACAACAGTATAGAAATAGATACACCGAACTACTAGATGTAACTCAGTCCTCCCCTTCGGGATCTACCTTTAACAAAAATTGGCAGCAGCTAGTAACAATAGAAAAGAGATAGGAATGACAGAACTGGAAGTTTAAACGCCTAACTAAAATAACATACTAAGGTTTATCCGCCCTAGAAACAAGATCCAAATGAGAAGCTAAAATTTTATAGTGACATCATTCAGAAGAATATAAGACCCATCCACGTTGAATGTATGCAAATCAGGACACATCACAAAAAGAATTTCTAAGAATAAGACTCTAGTTCCAAAGTAAGACCTTCTAAGTTATAGGACCATAGAGTAGTATATTAACCTTTCCACCCTTAAACTTTGACACATCTAGCATCCAACATAGCATTAAGTTACTGATTGTTAGCTTGTTTCAGGATTACAAAAGCATTAGAAATTATTACTGTGCGGACCAGGAGACCGCTATTAACCCATAACAGAAACAGCTCTGACCTCTGATGAAAAGCTATATCAAGATTCCTGCTAGAAATCTGCAGCAAACAGATGAATCAGAGGTTACTTTAATGTACATGAGAAGAGATAACTATACAAGCAGCAGTAAATCCAATCCTGGTCACTTCGTGGCCAACAACATTAGCAAGGGATTGCTCAATTATTTAACTGAGAAGTTATACTCACATGACTCCATAGCAAGAATACTAGAAGCCTGTGTTTGATTCGTTTGGTAAATCTATTTGGGATGCAAAGTCACATGAAAACGTCAACAATGATACAGCAAGGCACACAAAAGAATCCTCATTATCAATGTACGATCCAGAGCTTTTGGTTCCACTTTGCATGTCCAAAACTACACCCTCCAACATTGCTAACCTCCTGCCGCCAGAACAACCAACAAATCCAACAAGTGAGATACTAGAAATCCATAATCTGTTAGTATCAAAGTCTAGTGAATACTTTTTAAGCTCAGACAAATAGAAATTGCTTGTCCTTATACATCTGCAACATCTTAGCTCCATGCTTTGGAATATGTATCTTCCCCCACGAAGCTCAGCATGACATGGACATCTTCATGCCCACATAATTGCAAACTTCTATGTTAGGAGACAGAGACAAGAAGGATAAATTACAAACAAATCAAACATGTCTGGTATTAAACACAAAACCACTTGAGAGGTTGGGATGGAACTTGTACCTTCTGCACAATGTCTCTTTATTCTTAATCCTAATGCTTGCTTGAGTCCTCATGACTTATGCTTTCTCAAATTGTAGCAGACAAGAGAGGCTTAAGTTAAGCAACTTCATGAGTTATCAAGAAGAAGTATAGCAATAAACAAATTCCCAAAGACCCCGATACTGGATTCAAACACAAAATCCTAGATTACTGAAGAACTCCAAATTATTAAACACAGCCCATGTTAATACAAACCAAACACCAATCCTTAATCTTAGAATCGCAAACCATCTAATAACCCTAAATTAACTAGGTCAGTAACCAAAATCATTTACCAAGCTTAGTTGGTCAGTATAGACGTATGAAGGAATTGAGAGTGTATCACCTAGATTCCTTATATCAAACCTGCCGATAAGTTGTGCATGTCCAAGCGCCCACCATTTTTGGCGAAAGTAATCATTAACGATGACTTCCTCTGTCTCCTCTAAAGTTAAGTGAAGTTGCCAGCGGGAACGAAATGGAGCTTGTTGATTTCGGAGTGTTAGCCCTGATGAGTCGTCTTCACTGAATGGATTTCAGAGATCGAGTAGGAGACGTGCAAGGAGAAGAGGGAAAGAGAATGGTGAAACCCTCATATACATGGTACAACCCAGATCTATGATTCATGATAGAGATTTGATGCGAAGAAGAGGGAAAACGAATGAGGATTGTCGAGGAGTCTGAAGCTCTAAGCCGGAAAGAGAATGAAATTGGAAGTAAAAGAGTTGGGATAGAGAATCGACTTCCACTTTTGATTTTGTTTTACGATGGGAATCTGCTCGAGGAGAGAGGGAACATAAATCGCGATGTGCAAGTGCAACACCCACTTTTGCTTTTGTTTTACGGGTGGGCGGGATAATTTTCGTTGGCGGCTTTTTGGAGCCCAAACGAAATTTTGTTTGTGGGAAGTTTTGTAGGGGGAGGAAGTTTGGAGCCAAACCAAATTTTTCCCACTTAAATTTTGGTAAATGTTTTGAACTAAAATTATGACAGTGTTCACGGTAATTAACCGTGATTAACAATTAGTCACGGTAAATAAGGACTTAAAAATTATAAAATTAATTCCCGTGTTTAGATCTATATCGTCAACTACAGGAAATTTTCCCGTGACTGCTAGTATACTTTTAAGTACAGTAAAAGTTCCCGTGAATAGGATACCGTGTCCAAAAATCAGTTTTCCTGTAGTGAGGGTCCGGAGGGTGACCCGGTTGGCCGAGCCCCGGCTGGGGGTGTAGGAACTGGTGAGCAGGTGGTTGAGGATGCGCCACTCCGGCCTAAGGAGAGAGGCCCGTGTCATGCTGGCGACGTATTCCTCGTCCACGTGGTTTGGCAGGCAGATCCGCCGGAAGTACGCCTGGCATGGAAAGTCGGTGGGATCAGTGAGGTCCAAGTGCAGGATCCCGTCGCTGGCGTGCGGGGAGTTGAGCCCAAGTGCATTGGCAAACTCCCAATAACTGACGGAGTGCTCCACCCCGCCGAGTGTGAACTTGACTGCATTAGCATGGTCGGCATTCCCCCTCTGGTTGTGGTGGAAGGAAGCATAGAACTCCCAGACGAGCTCCTGTTAGGTCGGCTCGGCGAGGCAGAGAAGGCGCCGCCAACCATAGGCCCGCACAACGGCCTCCATCTGCGGCCTGGCATGAAGCGCCTCGAACACCTCAAAATCGAGATGCAGGTGCTCGGAGATGGTGCGGGTACGGATAGTCCGCAGCAGATGGCGCTGGGTGATGCTCAAGTGGTCGAGGTAGGCTTCCATGACCCTGCAAAGCACAATGAAGAACAAAATGGCACACGAGCGAACAGGGTCAATGTTAGTCAAAACCACACTGGGAGCCCTCATATCGAAAGATATGGACAGTAGACTAGACTCCCGGGAAACAAGCACACCCATCACACGAGAATCAGAGAACCAAACTCACCGGGGGCCCTCAAATCGAGCGATTTGGACAGTGGACTTGGCCCCCGGTGAAACAAACACCAAAGCCAAACCAAATAAGCACCAATCGATCCATCACACACAAAACCACACAAGTCCGCATACAATGTCACATGCAAATGGTAGGCCGGATAATTGAAATCTAGAGGCAAAAAATATAGCATGCAAAGAGCGCCATCGGCCTACCAAATTGTTCCCAAAGCACGCCACAATTACAAGTTCTTCACCTAACTCTAGGTATCGATTCTCCGAAAAGATAAGAAAAGGCAAAGAGAACACACCTGGAGACGCAAGTAGATACCCGGAGAGAGGTGAAGAAAGTGGAAAAAAGCACCCCAAGACGCCGGAAAACTCACCGGAGACTCGCCGGAGAACTCGCCGCCGGTGACCCAACCTCGGCCAAACACGCCCAAACCTTTGGGGAATGTGCTCCTCGATGCCAGGAGCGTGGGGGGTGGTCGTGGTTTGTGATTTGGAGGTCGGGAGAGGGAGATATGGCCGGAAAATTGAAGGAGAAGAGGAAGGGGGCGATTTTCCGGCGAGGGGGGCGGCTAGGGTTTTGAAAAAAATGAAATGGATGGAGAGAGGGGGATGAAATTCGGTTTTTATAGGGGCGAGTCAAAACACGGGCGGCCAGAACACGGCCGTGTTCTGCAGGGGGTCAAAACACGGCCGTGTTTTGAACCCCTGCTGCCCGTGTTTTTACTGCCGAGCCGTAATTGCACTGTTCCAAAATTCCAATTTCAAACCACCAAGACTCATTCGTGCCCTGGCTCTAAAATTTACCCAATCACACATTAAAAAGAACCGCCCGAGGCACGAAATACTTTCCAGACAGACTCCAGACAGACTCAAAGACTGAAAAACCGACAAAAATGAAATGAATAAATAAAAACAAAGTATAGAAATGCAAACCGTGGTTGGGTTGCCTCCCCACAAGCGCTTCTTTACCCTCTTTTAGCTGGACGCCAGTAGAGGAACTAAGGGTCCTCGAGCTTGATCAGCAGCTCTGCGCGCTCGACAGCACCTCCCAAATACAACTTTAGGAGGTGGCCATTCACCTTGAATGGCTCGGTTTGAGCATTGCTGATCTCCACCGCACCATGCGGGAAAACTTGGGTGACCGTGAAGGGTCCCGACCACCTCGAATGGAGCTTACCCGGAAAGAGTTTCAGGCGTGCATTGAAGAGCAGAACACGATCACCTACCTGAAACTCCTTCGGGCCCCTCAACCTAGCGTCGTGGAGACGCTTGGTGCGCTCTTTGTAGAGCAGGGTGTTCTCGTAGGCGTGGTAACGCCACTCCTCCAACTCTAGCAGCTGCAACTTACGTTCTGTACCTGCAACACTCAAATCCAGATTTAGCAGCTTAATGGCCCAGAAGGCCTTGTGCTCTAGCTCTACCGGCAAATGGCACGCCTTCCCATAGACAAGCCTATAGGGAGAAGTGCCAATCGGATTTTTATAGGCAGTCCTATACGCCCAGAAAGCATCATCGAGCTTGGTGGACCAATCCTTGCGGGACTGATCCACCGTCTTTTCAATTATTCGTTTTAACTCCCGGTTCGTCAGCTCGGCCTGCCCATTTGACTGGGGATGGTAGGCCACCGACACCTGATGCTTAACGCCGTAGCGAGAGAGGAGTTTAGTGAATTGCCCTTGAAAATGGGTTCCTCTATCACTAATAATGGCGCGAGGTGTCCCGAACTGGGAGAACAGCTGCTTCAGAAATGAGCAGACCCGTCTTGCATCATTGGTGGGCATGGCTTGAGCTTCTGCCCACCTCAAGACGTAGTCCACTGCAACCAATATGTACAGATTGCCAAAAGATGGAGGGAATGGGCCCATGAAATCGATACCCCAAACATAAAAAATTTCACAAATAACAGAGATATGTTGGGGCATCTCATCCCGGGCAGAAATGTTACCTGACCTTTGGCAGCGGTCGCACTGTCGTGCGAAGGTGTCTGCATCCTTGAAGAGCGAGGGCCAATAGAAGCCCGACTGTAGCACCTTCCGCGCCGTGCGGTTTCCTCCATGATGACCTCCAGTAGGTCCCTCGTGACATTGAGACAGGATGTCTCCCATCTCATGCTCCATGACACATCGCCGGATCACGCCATCTGCTCCGATTCTGAAGAGGTAAGGATCCTCCCAGAAGTAGTGCTTCAGATCGGAGAAGAACTTGCGCTTTGCATGAGTAGCCATCCCCTTGGGTAACTGCTTTCCCACCAGATAATTGGCAAAGTCAGAATACCAAGGGGCCACACTGTCCACCAGTGTCATCGCCAACAATCGCTCACCCGGGAAGGAGTCGTCGATCTCTTCCACGAAGTTGTCCACCGGAGGGGCTTCCAACCGTGAGAGATGATCTACAGCAACATTCTCGGCTCCTTTCTTGTCCCGGATCTCGATATCAAACTCCTGTAGCAGCAGCATCCATCGGATGAGCCTAGGCTTAGCATCAGCCTTGCTCATCAGGTAGCGAATCGCCAAGTGGTCAGTGTAGACCACCACATGGGAGAGCACCAGATAGGGTCGGAACTTGTCAAATGCTTACACCACAGCGAGGAGCTCCTTCTCTGTGGTGGTGTAGTTCTCCTGTGCATCGTTCAAGGTCTTGGACGCGTAGTAGATGGGCTGGAAGTGCTTCTCGCGTCTCTGACCCAGAAATGCTCCGACTGCATAGTCACTCGCGTCGCACATCAGCTCAAAAGGGAGAGACCAGTCAGGAGTCACCATGATAGGTGCATGGGTAAGCTTCTCCTTCAGAGTCTCAAATGCAGCTGTGCACTCGGGAGTGAACTGGAATGGTGCATCCTTCTCTAGCAGCTTGGTCAAAGGCAGGGCAATCTTCGAGAAATCTTTGATGAAGCGCCAGTAAAAGCCTGCATGACCCAGAAAGCTGCGGATCCCCTTCACAGAAACAGGAGGAGGTAGCTGATTGATCGTCTCAATCTTCGCGCGATCCACCTCAATCCCCTGCTTGGAGATCTTGTGCCCGAGCACAATACCCTCACGAACCATAAAATGGCACTTCTCCCAGCTGAGTGCCAGATTAGTCTCCTCGCACCTCTTCAGAATGAGTTCCAGGTTATGGAGACAGTGAGTGA